CCATATGCGGTTTTGGGGCCACATGGGAAGTGGTGCAGTGTCAGGCAGAACCGGCACGAGCTCCAGGAGCCCTGTTTCTGCAGTGTCTGCAGCAAGATACATTGCGGAAGGTTCCACAAAGGCAGAGGTTAAGGGAAAACAGTCTATCCCTCCAACCCCTCCCCCACCCCACCCATCAGTTCTATTACCTACAAGAGACCTCTTTTTGGAAGCTGCTCTTCAGGCAGACAAAGCAGGTTATTATGACTTACGGAACATCTGGAATCATCTGCTTGCTTAATGAGGATGGACATTTTCTCAGATCTGTGGAGCAGAAATTTGGTTCTGCTTCATGCAGCTTTGCACTCCCTCCCAGCGCCTCCCGTAGTAAGTGGGACCTTCATGCTGGCATCAGACCCTGATAACCAGTGAAATGTGCTGGCGTGTTGTTACACGTACTGATTTGTGAGTCCCGGTCAACATACAGGCAGGATAACAGCCAGGTTACAACCTTTACGATCAAAATGATATGAGACAAATTAATCTCTTCTCATAAAACACAAACAGCCCATTTACCATGGTGTAAAGCATGACGTATCTGTCTTATACACCAATCACAATGCAGACAGTGGACACCACACACCAGCCAATCACCACACATTCCGTCCTCCACAATTTGCCCCGGTTGGCTGCACTTACCATTTGGGAGGGACCAGTTGCCCAGCAATGACTGAACTCAGTGCTAGCATTAGCATTGCCTTCTGGTGCCCGATGGGAGGCGGTTTGGCTGGTAATTGAAACTGATAAACAACAGCAAATTGTGTGTCATTACCACAGGGAGGGAAATGAGCCTGTTTGTGGGATAGTATAGATCATAAATAAAAGTTTAATGGTCGACACATAGGTTGTGAATGAAAAAGAAGATGAATTCTTCTAATGGTGCCCTCTGTCCTCCGCGCGCGTGTGTGGGGGAGTCACACCTCACTCCCCCCCTGCCCCCCACTGAATGGCAGCTCCGAGATACCTTTCACGTCTCCAACCTAAACATTCGCAAAGGGGTGAAAATAATGCCACATGTCACTCAGCGTCATGAAGTGCCACCATCTTTGTTCACTCCTTTAAAAAAAATAAATAAATAAATATTCAGTCAAACGACGCGTTAGGAGGCCTGAATTCTTCACGGGGGGATTGATGTAAGGGGACCTGACATGCTGACACACAAAGCCTCTTCCTGCTCTGTGAGATTAGGACCTGCCAGCCACACCAGCTCAGTAAGGAACTCCACTTCACGATGGTCTGCTCCGTATTGTGGCGGTAATCCCGTCGTGTTTGGGTCTCTGTGACCCCTGTAATGGAGCTAGCGGGGATAGTGCCCGCCGATACCGCCCTGAATGCAGAGCAAGGCGGACGGGACCATTTGGTGCCACGGAGATACTACAGCTAACGGCCGCCAGGCCTGGGTTCTCGATTCGAGAGCAAATTATGCAATGGAATTAAATAAATAAATCATACGGAAATTAATCATGATGGATAATTAGAGGATGGGAAAGAAACAGATGGGTAACGGGAAGAGATTTTCAGCCCATTCTGAAATGAAACAGCATGAGCTGGTGCTCTTTAAGTGCGGGGGGGTGGGTGGAGAGACTGGACTACACACTGGGGCACTGAAATGCCTGAAAGTAAGGCTCCTGAGGTGGGAGAGAGCGAGTCGAGAGTGACAGGGCTGGGGGGCCTCCCTCTGCCCATCTCAGCCCCTTCCCCCCAAGTTCCGCCCCTCCCCCCAAATCGCTCTGAGAAGCACACCTCATTATCTGTCTGGTCCATATCGCCATTTCTGGCCGTTTTGGCTGTTTCTCAGAAGCTGTGCTCCATCGGAGAATCAGCAAGAATCTGAGCTACAATGAGAGGAACTGCCATGCCAGCAGCGTGCTCTGAGGTTCACTGCCAGCGACCGCCGGCTTCCTCACACTCTCCGGCTCGACTGCATATAACCCCTCGCCAACATTTCGGCTGGTCACGTGACCAAACACATCACTCCATGAATCCACACAAACACACCTCACTGCACATTTAAAGCTCCTGTCAGCCAATCACAGAGCATCTCCCAGCTGCACAGGTAAAGAGCCATTGGCTGAACGCAACCCCTGAACCAACAGGCTTTGCCATCAGACTGAGAAGGATGTATATATAGCAGAGAGAGATGGCTTAACAAGGCCCCAGTAAGGAGAGTCACAGCTGGAGTGCAGCAGCACAGCTCAGGGGCTAGATGGGGGAGGGGGAGGTAAGGGCCTGGGGGAGGGCAGAGCTGCAGCTATCATTCCCTACCCTCCTTACACATGCCGCACACACACACACAGACACCAGAATGCTCCGTCATGCCTCGGTGCATTCTGGGAGATTGTGGCTACAAAAGACATGCATACAGGGTGTGATTGTTGAAGATGATTTCCTGTCCAAGAAAAATGGAGCCTTTGAGGTTACTCTTCCATCCAAAACACATCGACTATGGCTCGACGCGTGAGCGGTCCTCAGGGCTGTAGGATGATGTTCATCGGCTTTAGAACGCTCCATGTTTACTGAATCCACATCAGAAGATGTTGCTGGTTTGTCCCGGAGGAAGGTGGACACACGAACATGGATCAGGCATCCAGCCCGACGCAGACGACGTCAAGCATAAACGTGTCACCAGGCAGCTAGAGAGAAACTGAGCCTCTGAATTTCAAGTGTTTTTAAGCCCAGCTTAATCTGAATATTGTTTTGTGTCTGCAATCATGGCATGTCTCATGGGAATTTCCCACATTCAGACTACGGATGGCCAGGAAAACCAATCAGCCTGTATCCGACCTCCGTAAACCCCGCCTCCCTTTTGCCGTGAAAAGTTTCTGATTGGTCGTCTCTCTGGCACTCCAGGTCACGATCAGAAGAAAGTGCCAGACGTGGCTGAGTCAGGAGGGAGGGCCTGATGTGTGCTGTGGGAAAGGCGCTCTCACGCACGGATCCGTGTGGGGGAGCCCGGCTGCGGAGGGAGCCGTACAGCAGGGACGTGAAACTCCTCAGCTACAAGCTGCTGGGGCAGGAGAAAGAATTTCTACTCTGACATAATCACTAAAACAAATGGACAAGGGCAGAAATACACACTGAAACCGTAACAGGAACAAGCCAAAGTCAGAGAGCAGGCCCAGAAAATGTTGATGGTGACCGAGCAGCCTGACCCGGGTCTCAGGGCCGTCATCATACATGCAAAGAGAGTTCAGTGCCTTTAGGGTCCTGCCTCGGCTGCCCTCAGAGGTAATATGGAGGCAGGGCCTGCACAGCAACCTTTAGCGTGAGGGAAACTGTCAGCGCCAGGGCCGGTAAATATAGCAGACCCTCTTCAGGCTGCCAGTCACACACTGCCGGGAGGGGGAAGCATCAGAAGACGAGGTCAAGACTTGATTGACAGGTGTCTGCAATTACCGAGGCTACATGCCTCCCACCCACACCTTCACCGGGACGATAATCCCAACCCCCGCTTGGCAAATAACAAGCCCACAGGTACGAAAGTCGAACCAAGGATTACAATAACGGGGACTATCAGAGAGAGAGAGAGCAGACACGGAAGCGCTCAGCAGTGCCCTGAAAGTGCCTCTGAGAGCCAATCAGCCCCAGGTGGACGATCTGAAAAATGAACGCTGTGATTCTCGGAGCTCCCACAACTTCTGGCTCGATAGCAAAGGCAGTAACCAGCCAAGCGTGTGTTTATGCTTTCGGTGCTGATACAGTGAGTCAAAAGCACCCTACTCAGTACAGTGCACTTTTATAAACTAATATTCATCACACACAATTCTCATATATCAAACTCCAGTTAAATAACTATAACTCTCCACAATACAATACAGGAACACATTATATGACACAGCATACAAAAGAAAAATGTGACCCATTTGTTGATAACATTTTTTCCTGCAGAAAGAACCTAGCTGCCAAACTGCTCTTTTCGAAGCAAAGACAATAAAACACACACTTTCCCCCCAGTGTACACAGTTATGCACGTGTCGGGAATATGCGTTTATTTTTACACATTTGCTAGGGCTGGGGCGTAGCGTCGTTTTCTCTGTCATCCTCACAACGTGCGGGTGCTTTATGGATATTTCAGGGAAGCTTTAACCCGCAGAGAAAAACCTCGTGGTGTCGGACCCCCATGACTTATTCAGAATAGGCGAAGTATTTAATGAATCAGTCATTACTCTGACCGCTGTCATGAAATAAACTGTCACTAAGTAATATACAAACGAATCCGATACGTTATGTGTTCATTGCCCAAGCATTTATTTAATTGTTTCATAAAACAAATAATTATTAGTTTTCCAAACAATTCAGGGAACTGGGGGGCGGGGGTCCGTGTGCTCGCAATAATACAATATTTGGCAATATCACGATATCTCTCGCAATGTCCCAGAAATATCTGAGAATCAGACCCACAGCAGGAGCCGTCGTGCTCCCTCCCTAACCCAGCATTACAGTCCCTCATGTCATATTCCCGCAACTAACTATCCTTAAGCGTCAGACTCGCAGGTACAGCGACGGCTCCTGCGCGCCTCCGATGCCGTTACTCTACCCTACCCTGCACCTACTCCAACGGTCTGATCTGTAAACTGACCTGCATAAAGTTTTTTACGCTTAAAACGGCGAAGTGGAGCCCCCCTAACATGCTCCCTTCCTCCGGCACTGTGATCGCTCCCCCATCTCCCGCTGAACTTCTACAGCATCCCTCCGCTTTTTAGCACGAGCGGCTCCGGCGCATCAGGTGAAAGGCGTCGGGATCGGGGCGTGTGCGCCGGGGACGCGCCGGGGGACGCGCAGCGCGGGAGCTGTCCTTTCAGCACCACCGGCGCTGCCGCTCCCGGAGCGTCCGTATCCGCAGCCCCGCACGCCATCCCGCAAACGCCGGCCGTCCCCACGCACAGCCCCCCCTGTGTTTATTTCGCCGTTTTCGGTAAAAGTTAATAAGCAGGATAGGAGCGCGTTATTGGCCTACTTACCATCAATCGCCATGATGCTCTGTTTGGGTTTAACCAAGCCGGGCGCTGAAGGCAGGGAGAGGCAGGCGGGCGGAGGTGTGAGCCGGCGGAGGGGGCTGTGCCATATGGTACAGTCCGTTATGAAACCTCCCCTCTCTGCTCACCTACTCTCCGCCGCAATAATGATACAGGCGCCGAAAAACACCCGCGGGACTCCTTTACAATTATGCCGTTTCTTTTCTTTTCTTTCCCCCCCCCCACAAATCACTAGCAGAGATTCGTGTAAGCAACACCCAACACGGAAATTAAAAATTATTACAATACCCAGGATGGACATAAACAAAACAAAGATCATGAGAACAGAAATTGAATTCCCGTAATAGTAACCCAAGACAACGCGAAATATGCTCATCATACACGAGCGCGGATAAGCGCATTTCTTATGAGCCTCGGCAGCTTTTCGCAATTATACATTTACTAATGACACTGTAAATTAATATATATGTTTATTTAGTCTGTGTAAGCACGTTTGGAAAAGCAGGGACAGAAGGCGTATCTACGTAATGTGTTTCGCAAAGAGCACAGTGTGAAAAATAGATGCATTTATTTTGTAATGAGGACTTTTCTTCAGTGGGTTCCGAAGCAACATTTATTCAATATAAGGGCTCCTTTTATTTCATCAGAAAGTACAGATTTTCAGCAGATAAAGAGTTCAAATTAGCTCTGTTTTACCAAGTTTTTCAGGTAATGTTGTCCATAGGATACAACTGTGTTTTATGAAAGATAGAGATTTGGTTTGATATCCAGGAAAACAGGGAAACTTTCAGTGTAATACAATAAGCAGCAGCAATAATAATAATAATAATTCCCTATCAGCACCCTCAGATTTCCTAAGGCTGCCAGTAAGCAGGGGGTCAAACAGCAGTAGATAAGAGCCAGCAGCAGGCCATCTGATGCCGAAACCAATATCACACGTTTGGCAGGAGATATTATACCATCGCCTTGGTACCCAAAAACAGTGCTGTGGCTTCCTGGGTCACACACACTATATATAGAATGTTGCAGCTGCAATATTGCTGAACATGAAGTTAAAATTCAAGCAAAGGAGTTAAACAAACCCGCAGTGGACACACCCACAATGGACAAACCCGCAGTGGGCACACCCACAATGGACAAACCCGCAGTGGACACACCCACAATGACAATGACAAACCTGCAGTGGACACACCCACAATGACAATGACAAACCTGCAGTGGACACACCCACAATGGACAAACCTGCAGTGGACACACCCACAATGGACAAACCCGCAGTGGACACACCCACAATGACAATGACAAACCTGCAGTGGACACACCCACAATGACAATGACAAACCTGCAGTGGACACACCCACAATGGACAAACCTGCAGTGGACACACCCACAATGGACAAACCCGCAGTGGACACACCCACAATGACAATGACAAATCTGCAGTGGACACACCCACAATGGACAAACCTGCAGTGGACACACCCACAATGGACAAACCTGCAGTGGACACATCCACAATGGACACTCACAGTTAACAAGCCACAGGTCTGATCTTCCTCTTACTCAGGCTTAGGCTTTTGTGCTGACAATGATGTTTTTTTGGGCTTAGACTTAGACAACAGGGGTGTAGATCGATTTGATGATGCTGTTTGTGTAAATAAAACACTCCGCTTTCTGGAATGGGATCTGCGGGAGGCCGATGAGTCCCAAGTTGAAGTGACAGAAGGGAGCATGGAGCATGGAGATGGCATTCAGCTACCCTGAGCAGATGACTCAGGTCATGTAATGCGATTAACCCACACTGGACGATGACACGGCATGTGCTGTTGCTACGTCTTCATGGGTTCTTCCATTCTGTCCATCAAACACTGCCATGGTCAGTTAGTGGCTGACGGGAGTAAATGTCTCTGATTGGCTGTAATGGTTTATAGGGCAACACCCTTCAGCATGAGCACCCAACCTGGGAGAAACGAATAGAAATTAATAAATGAATAAATATCGCAGGTATTTATACATGCTGCGGTGATATAAATTGTTCATCTTTTATTTCATGGTGAAAGATGCAGTAACCTTGAGACGACGGGGAGGGTGACGGGTTCTGATGGTGCATGCGCTTCCTGCAGGAGGTGGGGATATGAGAGGTCCCTTAATTCTCAGCGGAGGGTGTTAGAGACTCCCGGGGTCCCATCGCTGTCCTGATGCTCTCAGGCCCGAATGCTTTCTGGAGGCTCCTCTGGCTCACGCCGCACTCCCTGCCGCAGGACACACTGCGGCGCCGGCCCGTCACACTGCCCTCCATCCCATATTAATACCCCCCCAGAGGGAACAGCAGCTCCTCCAGCCTGCATGTACCAGACAGCGGCTCCGCCGTGTCCTCGGGAGGATTTACCGATGTCCCGGGCCGGGATGGGCCGGGCCGGGTCTGTCCCCAGAGAGTGCCGTCCACCTGGCTGGGCTCTACTGGGCTGAGGTGCCCCAGTACTGCTGGGCACTGGTGAACATGGCCTGGTTTTTACCGAAAGGAAGAGACCTAAATAAATCGCAGGTGAAACGAAGATTTATTTACCGTTTGTACAAGTGCAGGTACATCGCAGTGTGTTTTTTTCACACATCCCATTTTGTTCTCTTTTGTTAAGACATGCAGAAATATAAAGGTGAAAATGAAACTTGGGGTCTGAGCACAGGGGCCGCCATCCACCCAGGACCCCTGGGGGTTATAGGCTTTGCACAAAAACCCATCAGAGATGTGGCAAGGATGGGAATAGAACTGGCAACCTTCTGATCTCAGGCACAGAGTCCTAACCTGCCTGTAACCAAGTCCTTTTAATCTGTAGAATGTCTTTGGATGGGTCTTTAGTTTTCTCTTCCTTATAAGTCACTGATGGACAGGCTTCTAGGGCTTAATGCATTCAAGCCATCCAGGTGTAGCCAGCAGAACTGGCGCCTATCTCATCATGATAAATGCTGCCTTCTTTTTCGACACAAAAATTGAGGTTGTGAGGTTAGGGGACAGAGGAGTGGTGGGGGTTGGGATCCCTTGTGCTGCTAGAGAGCGTGGGCGCCTGTCCTGGGCACACAGGTAACCCATTTAATGACACCCAGCTGGCCCTTGTTAATTTAAACATCAGCTATGGTTATTTGAAGGATCAGCTGAGAGACTACAGAGATGTCTGATAGCTTTGTATTTGAGGGCATTGAACAATTTATACTATAATCTAGTACAATATTTAGTTGGGCATTTGTCAGTGAGGCATCTACCTGATCTTTCCTGCCCCTTCTGTAGGGGGTGCTGTGTTGCAAATGGTGCAAAGCTGAATCTCCCTTTGCCTGTTAAATACTCTGGTATTTCCAGGCCTACCATTTAAAAGGTGGCCCCAGTTTCCATAGTGATGCATTGATTTGCCATTAACCGGCAGGTTTAGTGAGTTGCTAAAGAGAAGCTGGTTTTAGGGAAGATTGTCAGCTGCATTTTCCTGGATGGTGTTTCCAAGCAAACATCTGAGATGTTCATGTAGTCCTCTGTTTAAACCCTGTAGCAACACAAAAGCCTGTGAAAACAAGGTATTTCTTTCTGAAGTATCTTGGCCACTTCCTTTCTCGTTTTATATTATATTCCATTCGTTTGCTGTTTCTCTACAACAAGGAAAAGCGGCCTGCATGTTATATAACCAGACACACTGCAGGGATAAACGGAAACTAGCCCAGAGTGGATCCACCACTGTGGCATTGTGCTGTCAGTCTCTTTTCAGGTTCCCCAACAACATGCAGGCCTTGACCTATCTTAAGAGCCCTTAGGGTAATGGATGGCAAAGAGGTCCAATCAGCACGTGGCACTGGGCCACCGCAGGTGGGATGAGAGTCTCTCCACAGCTCTGCGGCCGCCGTTCTGTGTGTAGGCATCAGAGGGGTTGCCATGGCAACCGGCTCCTACACATCGCAATACTGCGAAGGCCTTGAATTTTGTGGGCTGCGCTCTCCGCTGCACAGCCATCTTACTTTTAAGCACCGAGTGCTTCCCAGGGATACGACATCTTTCCTGAAACTCTCCCTTCGGGATGTCGAGAAGGACGAGCAGCTGTCTGAGACTCTGCCTAACGACATTCCCCTCAGAGTCGCGGCTGAGGCGTCCCTCAAACGCAGCGCTGTGCTTCATGGTCACGTCCCTTGGAATAGCCTGCCTCACACGCACACCTGTAGGACACTTCCATGAGCGGCAAAGAGCCTCAGCACTGCTCTTAAAATAGCCTGAAATGACGGATACTGGCACCTGTCGCCTCTCAGCCAGAGGGGAGCTAACAGCCAGTGACAAGGAGTCAAAAACCTTGTTCTATATTTACACGGGTTTGTTCCTTTAACTACGAGAACGCAGCAGCAAGAGGCGCCATTAAACAGCAGATAAAATGTTTATGTAATATGAGTGGAATTATTGACTGTTACAAGCAGGCGGAACAGACACTGTCTGCTCTGTGAGAAAGATTTGCATGGTTTCCTTGCATGATGTGAGTCTGGGGGACGTCAGTCCAAACCAAGGAAGGGATTAGGAGTAGAGGTGCAGTCCTGAGGTTGCATGGGTGTAAAAACGGCCTAGCAGAACCTGGCTCTGTGCAGCTGTGGAATCCTGCGATCCGGACCTGAGAAGCAGGCTCTGACCCGCAGCAGTGACAGCCGCCATGGGGCGGCACGATGACAGGGGTCTGACAGGGCGGACGGAAAATCTCGTTAGGAAGCGATGACCGGTGTGGTCAGAGGAAAACACAGGCACACTGCAGCTTCACCACGAGGCTGTCTACAACGTGCATTGCGTTTCTAGGCAACCAGAGGTACCGCTGAGGCAAAATACTTCCCACCGCTGTTGACAAATCTGGATGGAATCATGTGACACGTCTGGACATGGCTGCCGAATGCAGGCTTTCCTAACCGAACAGAGGCTGGGAAATCAGCTTGGAGGTGCTTTGCGATGCACCCCATACCTGCCGTGTGGAGCATTTCAGGCTTCAGGTTTGTGGTTCTGTCAGGGGCAGCTAGGTGCCTCCTTAAATTCCGGCCTGTTCAAACTGGGCTCCATCTTCCCCCTCGGCTTGTATCCCAGCCATGGCCACCATAAAGTGGGACTGCTATTAACTTGGTCTGTTATAACCCCCTCCCCCGTCAGAATGGTATGTTCCTCAGAGGGCTAAGGGGACTTCAGAGTCAGTAAAGGGCAAACCACAACAGCGATTTACAGGGACCAATTACTGTCACCTTACCATCAAGCTGAGTCTCTGAAAAGAAGGCGGTTTCTTTAGAACCTGACCTGAGAATGTTACGGTAATGTTCTTCCTGCTCTCAGAAAGACACTGAAGCTTGCGCTCAGTGGGGCTGGGAACATGAAGCTAAATCAGGCCTGGAGCTTATAAAAAGATGGCGCGAACCGCAGAACATGCAGTAGCAGTGAGTATTCTGACCAAATGCATTATGGGAAGTGAATACAGGCAAGGAGGACCAACCGCAAATAGGCTGCTCAGCTCAAATCTGAGGCTAACGGGGAAATCTGGCAGCGCCACACGTACCTGTGACCAGCCCACTGTGCCAGACGCCTCCGTTAAAATGCAGTTTGTTTTTGCATTGATTAGAATATTTAAAGGAACACAAGGGCTATTTGTAAAGGCACACTGGGCTGGCATTATGGAAAACCGCCACATTAAGGGTTGCTGAAAAACCTTCGGTCCCTGATCTAGTCGTGTAAAAAGGGGGATTGTTCTCAGGAACATACAGAAGTTATCCTTTATTTTTGTATGTAACATGACAGAATGAAATTGGATGTACAGCAATTAAGAGAACTGATAAATGTCAAAGCGGAACCCCCCCCCCCCAAGGCTACAGTCAGAGGGACTCCTCCCCCGTCACAAACAGGTGCACGGACTTCTGGGAGCGCAGCATCTGTCCGGCGCGCTCTGCGCCCGTCACGGCGGCCAGCCGCTGCAGGTCGAAGCGGGAGTAAAGGCTCGTGCAGCTCCAGCTGGCCGCGCCCTCGGCACCACCTGCCCGCAGCGCGTTACACAGCTCGCTGTAAAAGTGCGCGTACGTGGGCAGCGCGTAGAAGATCAGGTTGTGGATCCCCTTGATAGTGTATCTGAGAACAGAATGATTTATACTTTAATTCATTATTCATTTTAATCAGGCACATTTTCATAGATCTCTTCCCAGAATGCTCAGCCTGTATCAATCATACATGGCAGGAGGCGTTAAATTTTACCAAACATTAAATATATTACAGTATGAAAAACTCGCAAGACGGACAATTATTTTTTCCTTTTGAAACATGCAGATAGTCGATTAAACAGCCTCTGTAATGATACAGGAAAATTCTTCATTTGGTATCGATTCATATCTGTAATTTATGTCTTATTTCCATGGCATGTTACCCTGTGTGAAATCCTTAGCCACTATGCCACATATGGTGGCCATTTTCCCCTCACCTCTTATAGAAATGGAAGCGTTCGGTGAAGAGCAGGAAGTGAATGTCGCCCATCTGGAAATGGTGGCGCGCGCGGGACACCTCCGACCTGGATGAGTACTCGCAGATGCTGGCGAACTTCATCTCCTCCTTCTTCATGTAGTTACGCAGGCGGACGAAGTCGAAGTACGAGGGCAGATAGATGAGGGTGTGCGACATCACCGCGTCCCGGTACTGGGGCAGCACTTTGTCCACAAAAAACTGGAACCTGGAGGAAGGAGAGCTTACGTTGTCACCCAATTGGCTGGATGCAAACCCCGCCCCTAGCCATCCACAGCTACGCTGTGCTGATCTTCAAGGTGACTGGCAGTTAAGTGTGAAAGCCAAATGAACAACAGTGAGAGGGTCAAGGCAATACAATAAAAAAAGAAGTCCACTATACTTCTTTTGCACAGTTAAACAAATTCGTGTCAATGTCACCCTCTGGTGGCCAATTCTGAGTATAACATCCAGACCTGTTGTCCTGGTCCATGTGACTGTCCGAGGTAAATCTCTGAAAGACGTGGGGCAGCTGCACCAGAACCTGACAGATCGAGCCGGTTTTGGGTAAATTCTTCACAGAAACCTAAAAAAGGCATTTTATGGAAGATGCAACATCAATCAGGATTTCATAGAAGCCTCTCTTCTCAGTGACCCACACCCCCTTTTCTTGCCACACACAAACCCACCTGGCCCCGGTAGTTGAAGCAATGCTTGGACATGATACTGTTGATCTGGGGGTCCTGGACAGCACTGAAGACTAGCGTCTGGCGGTAATACTGGGCCCAGTTGTTCAGGTTCCACATGCGCACCCTGGAGAAGTCAACGCCGTGGGAATCCAGCGGCTGCAGGTTTAGATGTTTCATCACGTGCTGAAATATAGGCGATTTTCAGGACGTGAGGGGGATTGTGGGTATTGAGAAAGGCCTGTACCATGCTCTCAGTTCACAAGAACTGTCACTGGATTAAAATCTAGCCTATGTTCATCAGAAGTTTAGATCTTTAGGACAACAATGTACAAGAAAAGACACGAGACCGGACCCCACCAGCACATGCTCCCAGTTCTGCATGAGGAAAACATCAGCCTGGTCCACCACGAGGACCTCGATGGAAGATAGGAAGTCAAAATCCCGCTTGGACTCGCCCTCCACTCCCAGGATGGTTCGCAGGCCCAGCGGGGATGCGATGATGATGTCAGAGGAGTAGAAGGGGGCGTAGAGGCGCAGGCTGCGGCGCAGGATGGACAGGCCTCCATGAGACAAGCAAATGTGGTTAGATGTCTACGGTTCCATAAAACCCAAAAAAGGAAAGTGAGAAGACCGGCCATACCAATCCGGAAGTGATCATCGATATTGCCAGAGAACACAGCCAGGTAGTCGTCTGGCCGGGATAGGCTGGGCGGCCTGTCTCCGGGCTCTTCCCCAAATTCATCCTTGAACCTCTTCTTGTGGCTGACGTCCATCTTCTTCCCCTTGGGTTCCAGCAGGCTGATGATGGTCTGGACCACTTGCAGAGCATAGTCCCGGAAGGGCACCAGAATCAGAACCTAGAAGAGGAAAGGGGTCCGGGGTGCATAGGTTCAAAAACCGAGATACTCAGGGCCTATTCCTGAGGGACACGGTGCACCCAACCTTGGCTGTTAAAGGTTGTGCAATTTAAGATGTACAGGGCAGGGCCTACTCAAAATATGGGCAGCTTTGGTTCACCTTGGGTCTGGTCAGGGCCTGATCCCGAGGCTCGTCCTGGGGTTCGTCCCGAGGCTTGCGCTCCCTAAGCAGGGCGTTGTTGGCCAGGACACGTGCGTTGGCCTTCAGCACGTGGTTGAGCACATGCAGGCAGTAGGCGCTGCGCACCTGATGGGCATCCACCAGGGGCGAGCTCTCGGGGAAGTAGACGTCACAGTAGGAGCTCATGAGGCTCAGCAGCTCCTGCTGCAGTGGGCTGGTGTCCTGGGCCAGTCCCTGGGGGAGGACAGCCTGGTTCACGGACACCCAGTTGGCCTCTAGGACCTTGTGGAGATGCGGTGTTCTGGTGCTCGTCTCTGGGCCGATGGAGCTGAATTCCTCTAAGGTGGAGTTGCAAAGCAGGGTCCCCAGTCTTGGCCACTGCAAACCAGACAGCAAGGGCCATAGTTACAGCAAGGTAGAGACCTTCAAGTCAGAGCTGCTTCACAGAGCTACTGATCTCCTCAAATACAAAGGCTGCCCAGTGGCAGTGCAGCTCAGCCCCCTCAGGCCAGCATCCTCACACTCACCTTCATCTGGGTCTTGGTCCTGCTGCCGGATGCGATCTTCTGCACTTGCTCTTCACTGAGCTCGGTGTCCAGGTGCTGCATCAATGGCTCTGCACAGAGTAAGGGGAACCACTTTTAAGCAGCCGATACCTGCAGATACCGGCACCTACACTGGCTGTTTATCTTGACATAAGGAGACACAAGCCCTGTGAGGGACGATAACCATGTTCTCCTGAGCGTGCCGCAAATGGCTGCCCCGCCTACCATCACGGTCCTCCTGCGCTGCTGAGTCCTCCTGCGGCTCTCCATCTCCTTCCCCGAGGAAGTTGGTCTCCAGGCTGAACTGGGATTCGTGCTCCTTGTCTGTAAACTCCTCACCCGTTGCTGCCTCCTCACCGGGGACACTCCCCTCTTCCTCACTTTTACCCTGCTCATCAGGTGCCTCACTTGGACCTTCCTGACCATCATCACCCTCATCATCATCATCTTCTTCTTCTTCTTCTTCTTCTTCCACATCTTCCTCACTCCCATCACCAGGGTCTATGTCTGCAGGTAAGGCACAGGACACAGATGTACAGCTTTAAATAGTGACAGTGTCCTCAATCACTGCAGACATTCCCTGCCAAGACGTATTATTTTCCAAACACACAAGCAGGAAGTACATCAAGCGCTTAACTGTCTACTCTAGATAATCAGAAACACCCCGACATTTACCGCACCATCATCACACTGTTCTTCCTCCTCTTCGTCGTTTTCACTCTCCGATTCTTCGTCCTGACTCTCCTCCTCCTCATCAGCACGTTGACTCAGGGTCGACAGCAGTTTTTGGTAGGCGGATTCTGGCTCGGGATCCGTCTCACTTTCATCGTCACTCGCCGCCGCGGGATGTTCCGGACTGTCTGGTTGCTATTCCACAAACGAAGTGCAACATACTAATCATATGCGACGCGAACTTGGTAGCCCAGCACCACGATCTGATGCGCTAAAAAACTCTCAGGAAAGCGACTCCCAGGAATATGCACATAATCACAATGCTACCTAGTTACGGAGAGTGATCCTTAACAAGCATGCTACATGAGTTTAACACTCACCAGATTCAGTATCTGTGTTTTCTCTTCACGTTCCTGGACACTGTAAAACATGGGTAAAATAGCTATGATGCATATTTTGTCATAAACCATATATAGTTTTGTACTATACGGACAGTATTCGTATATTTACGTGTCATCAAAAGGGTGCTGCTCTCCAAATTCCTTCAGATGCTTTTTCTGCTTCTTAGTTAAATTATGGAAAACCTGATTTTTCCGTCTCTTCCCCATCTTTACAGCAAATCCACATGTGCAACAGCATGGGGCACGTTACCGGAAACTGATGTAATTTTGACCAATAATAATTAAGACTCCGTCCTACGTCATATTTAAGCGACACGCGGAAGTCTCTCTCAGTAGAGCGTTATGGTAGGCAGGCTGTTAGGATGTGAGTCTTACAAACAGTTCAACTGATGAATATAGAAGGTGCTATACATATTTGCATGGATGTGACAAAAACGTCTAGAAAAGGACATGAATAACTGCGAATCGAAAAATAAACAAGGCACTACATTTGTTTTTGTTGGTTTATAACAGCTGATTTAAGCTGTGTGGAGGCGAAGTTTAGGGAAGTCCGGTACCCTTGTGGAATTAGGGATGGTTGTTAATGCGTGTAGAGTTTGCAGTGTTTTGAGGTAGAGGGAACCACTCCTAGTAGATGAGCAGACGGCACAGAACTGCTCTCCCTGATGGGAGGGGGACGAATATGTGAACTGTTTGAGCGGCCGTGTGAAGAGGCCGAATATGGGTTTATCCTTTGTTTAGCTAACTAGTTTCACTCCATGCTCATATAATATAATATGTGAGCCTGCAGAATCATGTAGATATCGCAATAGCGATCCGTACTTTTTGTAAGGGGACGTATAACCTCCTAGACTGACATAAAAATATCAGTTTTTAACCCTTGCAATGTGAGCACATGAGGCACCCTTGCAGAGGCCTCTATGAGGAATAGGACTAGAAGGCCCTCCCTGTGTCAGGGACCTTGAAATGTAGCAAGAAAAGAAAGGAGCCAGTAAGAAAATGGGTGTCTGGGAGGTCCTGTGCAAGGGAGGGAGCAGGGGGCACTCGTAAAGAAAGTATGAATTGTCAGAGGCGTTGTGCCTTGGGGTTCCCCTCTGCTGTCCTGGGTGACCACATGCGCATGAACTTACAATAAATAGGAACGATCTATATACAAGTTTTATTTTGTCCGTCCGATATTTTTGATTAACAAGGAGGTTTATAATCACCTTTTTAAATATACAACATGTACGTGCTAAGGTTTCAGGGCTCGACGTGAGGTGTCATTTTCATTATTATCTTTTAAATAAACTATTGCCCCGATCACCTTAAAAAATGATGGACCAAAAACTGGGATCCCTCGAGGACCTGGCTAGTTTGTCAGGGAAAAAATCCACATAGGATGTTAAATATTAGGGTAACACACTAATTATATTAAGTAAACTAATTAGAAAACGCGTAGCCGAGCAATTCGCAGCTGGTTTGGTCTGCACCCCGGGTTTGATCTAATTACTTTGCCCAAGCATTTAACCCCACGTCATATGCAGCTCTGCTTGTTATTTTCTCTGTATGTCGCCATTATATGTATAACCGTGGCAGTAATAACTTAATTACTAGCGTACATTGTCTCCTATTTTCTTAGCATTTTAAAATGGGAAATGAATAGGATGTATGAATATACGACATTTGTGTTCTTTGTCCATTTGCCCTTTCTTCTAGGGGTCCATAAATATCAGCATTGTAGAAATTGCCCTTATAGATTAAAATGCTTTGCTGTAGACATTTACCATGACACACTACAATATTGCCTTCGTGATGACCCGCTAGAAAACGTGGTTCATGTGTTTACAATTGAAAGAAAAAATCCCTTTTGTCTCTTTTGGAAATAATTTTATTTTGCTGTGTTTTAAAGATTCACGGGAAATAATGTCATATCACTCACATGGTACCAAAAGTAGTTAATACGGCAAATCTGCCGTTTCTTGTAGGTGTTGACCGGTCCAGTTTGGTTCACTTGATTTCACGGACATCTCTATGCACCTCTAATAGTATGGTGCCTTGCCCAATGATATATACATGCTTTTATATTTATCTGTTAATTAAATTGGGCACAAAATTGCACACATCCGCTAGTAATAAACAGGGGTAAAAGCCCATGTTCTTGTGGTGAAGATGCTTATGTTCCTTGGCCGGCGATGAGATCCTATTATAGTGTTGGGACCTAAGGCTTACATGCCTTTTAATTCAGTCTTTATGAACATTTCCATTTGAAAACACATGAAACTCAACTCGTTATTGACTGAATGGGGCCTGGAGTTGATCTGTTTAAACGGTGTCGTCTTCAGTGACGCATAAAGTAGTTTATTTTATGTATTTGACGCAGTCTTAACTTTGGTAGCCTTGGAAGACCAGTTAACTTTTCTAAAATGTGTTCAGTCATCTTTTAGGAGCCACATGGGATGTTGGTTTAGGCTGTGAAATGTTCTCTTGTTTTCATGGTAGTGTTTTGTAACTGCAGTAAGCTGAGACACTTCCCCATAAAGCAGCATTCGCAAACCAGTATATAGAGTCGGTTTTAATCTGAGTAAGATTTAAGTCCATTGTACATTGGAAAAAGGCTGTGGAAATGTTCTTTATATCTCCCTTTTCTGACCCCAGTGTCCAATTTCTGTCTTGTTTACAAATGCGGGTAGAATGAGTGTCTTGGGGCTGTATTAATGTAAGGAGCTCAGGTCAATATTGTCCTGATCAGAGTCTCACTGTCCCCAGTGCAGGCTGAATACTTACTGGCCTCCTTCATGATTCACAGCAGCCTGTTTGCCTCTTACCTTCTTGGCCTGGGCTTTGAAATGCTGTAATTGATTTGATCACCGAAACTATTTCCATTAGCCTGAATAAAACCATATGTCCTGCTAGCTATATATTTTATACTTGCTGTTGGCCCTGTCTGTTACTCAGGCCCTGTTTCTCTCAGACAGCATGTGGTGGCCCACACTCCAGCTTGGACAAAAGCCTGCACTGTGTTTGTGATCAAAACGGCAATTAATATTTTAGAGGCTGAGATCCAGGGAAAACAACAAAAGCAGGAATAAACAAAAACATGGTTTACTGCTTGAAGGTGATTCGTAAACCCCCAGGGGTTAAAGAGACGAAGAATGCGGTGTCTGTCTCGCAGTCCCAGCCACAGCAGCCTGGAGCAGCAGGCATCTCCTACAGATGTGAACACTCACTGGTTCTGAGGAAAGGGCCCCAGAAATTTCTGTCACCTAGTGGCAAGACACCTTCTGATGCATAACACTTTGGGAAACCATAATTTCAGGTGATGATTTTGATGAATGTTCACCCACCACCCCAATGATCTGACAGACACACAGGAATCTGCACGTGAAAATCAGGCGGCCATTACGGATTTGTTAATATTGCACTTAATAGCGTAAATCTCTGCCTAGTCGTAGGGTCGACAGACAGTCGAACCGGGAGCGTGTTTCATGTGTGATGTGTTTTCTCCCCCCGTTAATGGACCCTGAGCTGTGCATCCACACGTCAACGTTAAAGCGCTTGATTGTTCGTTGTAGGTCATGCTGTCAAGGACCCAAAGCGAATGGTTCCCCGTGACTCCTGGCAGCTGGATCCCATGTGTTTCTGTAGTTTTGTTTTAAGTACTTTCCAAGTAATTAAAAGAAATGATTAAGTACAAGCTCTGAGCTGAGTGAAAGCAAAAAGACATGTTTATGGGGAGCTTGTTAAATTGCCCACATCAAAATCAAAGTAGCTATAAGGTTTAATGGGAGTGCTGTATGTTTCACAGTCAGGTCGCTCCTCTGAGAAATCAGCGGTAGAACATCAGCCCAGAGCCAGACGTGAGAGGGGCAGGTGGCCATCGCCGTGGGGAGGGTGGGGTTAGGTACTTGGTCCTGTCGCGTTTCCATGGGGCCGTTCATTTGGGGGAGGGCACTGTAATGGGCTCGTGTAGGATGGGACGAGGGCCTCATTCTTGGTTTTTGGGAATGACTCTGCAATCAGCAGCATCTGCATCCAAATCCCAGCCGATCCTGGCCTCACCATACACATCCCCACACGCTCGGAAGGTTTGGGCGGCCGACTCGCCCAATAACATCTAAGCTAAACAGACGCACCCGAAGGACTCCAAAAATGCCTGTTGTGCAAGTTTATGTGGAACAAGATGGTCAATAAAACCGAGAATGTGGTATTTAAAGGCACCTGTGTGCCTCCCTCATGCTGGAGAGGAAATGAAATTAGTGCTGCTCTCAGGTGAGATGTTTCTGTAATGGAAGCTGCTCGTTATTTTATTACGCATAACTTCACCATGACCATGGTCTGCGATACGTCTTATAACTGAAACATTTATTTTGAACTAGAGCTCACATGAGACATTCTTATTTAATACGGAATTGCATTTGTGCCATTTACCTTGCATAATCAATGGGGGTTGAAGCTTTTAGACATAAACATAGAAGTAGACTTAAGCCTCCTACAGGCCCTGCGATTTTAGCAATAGGTTAAGGCCACACTCTGTGACACGGATGCAGTAACCCCGAGTATGACATCAAGTATGATGTACGCACAACGCAAGTCGATATGCAGGAATGAACCGACATCAGTGTCAGGTTAGTAGATGTAGGTTGTAGCAGCAGTCACATCGTCAGAAGGTCATACTAAGTTTCCTGCCATTGGCAGAAATTTGTCCCAGCCTGGATTTAGTCGCAAGACCATGACAACGTTCATCTCTGAACCTCACTCACAGACCAGTGTTTTGGAGCCAACGATCAAAGATATCGCCACGATTCTTTCACGTTGATGATCTTTTGTCTTGGGGCAGCCAACAATTGCACAGCGTACACCTGCCTCTTAGACTTGACTTTATCAACCCCCGTCAGGGGGGGGATTTGTTTGGTCAGACAGCAGGTATGCAGATATCAAGAGAATATTACAGTTACAGTCATAATTAGAGAGATGTATATGGATAAACATACAGACAGTCACTTCCAATATTGTGCAATGCTGTTTGAATGCAAAAAAAGGCAGCGCTGTAATGACAGTGTAAATGTTATTTTGTATGTCCATACTAGACAGGGGGAATTCTGAATATTAGATGGATCACGTACACTGGGATCATTTATAAGTATATATACATGAGAATTCTTAAATGAGCCATATCGCCTGTGGTGCAGATTCAGCTCTTCCTCAAACCAGACAGCGCCTTCTGCTGGCCTGGAGGTTTGACTAAATGGCATTTGATTCTTCC